AAGAGAGAGGAGAAAGAAAAAAGAACAGACGGTGATTAAACGATGGATTTGGGGTTGAATGAAAACTAGTACACGTGGCTGAAGTTGATTGGATATTGAACATACAAAGTTTGGTCCTTTAAATACATCCAACGCTCAAAGTTAGGTGGAGTAGCATTCGAAAATAATTTAAAGTGCATTCAATATTTTAAAATATTTTCTAAGTGCTTTGAGTACCTTAAAATTTTTTCTTTAATCTATAATGCTGGATGTATCAAAAAATATTTTTAGATACTGGATGCAGATAAAATAATACTTTAAAGTACTCAACTCATTTAAAAAATATTTTAAAGTGCTAGATATATTATTAAATATTTTAAAGCATTGGATATAATTAAAAAATATTTTAAAATACTATATGTACTTCCGCTTTTTAAAATATTGTAGATTTCTTGGCCTACTCACACAAGGAAAACCCAAAACTGGTTCAGACCGACATAGAATAAGAGTTGATTTTTTTCCTTCAATTTTTCAATTTTAAAAATCTTAAGTCATATTTCTAAATTATATTTATGCATAATTGAAACAGAAAACAATGATGACGAAGTGTTTAAAAAAAAAAGTGCGTATATATATTGTAAATATCCGTTTATATGGCCCACCCAAATCCTTAGATAAGCTCAATCAACCAGCTAGCTAAAAACAGCAATGGTCGCTCTTCAAATTCGAAATTGGCTAGGAGTGGATGAGGAAGGATTACATAAACCATCCGTTTTTGTTTTCTTTTACCGATCCATTTTTTTAAACATTTCATGTCTTTTTTTTTTAATTGAAAACTTTCAAATTTCAATTTAAAATATGTAAAATAATTTCCTTAAGAGGTAATAAAATTGTAAAAAAAAAATCATTTGTAAATTGAATATAGGTCTTGACTTGAAAAAAGAAAAATTGCAGAGAAATCCCCATTGAAATATTCAATACCAAGAGGCACATGGAATTTGCAAGTTCTTGAGCAACTGCAACTCATATTTAGCGGCCATGATTTTTTTGTTGTTGTTGTGTAATATCTTTTGTTTTACATAGGAAATAGGACATACAAAACTTATTTTCAGCAAGTACAACTCTTTATCATTTATGTGCAATTTTATCTTTAACTATATACAAAACTTTTCAAAATGGAAGATATTTTTGCACATAGCTAAAAAAAAATGTCACATACCTCAAAAGAAGAGTTATATCCACTTAAAAACTTTGATTCTTAAATGAATTCAAGTACTGTTGGACAAATGAAATGTACAGTGAGGGCAATTTTTTATTAAAAGAATTTCAATATAGCTCCGTGGAAGCTAAGCCGCATAATTTCCGACAGAGGTGAATGAGATAGAAAGGGACAGCAGAGGCGATCCTGTAGGGAATTAAATGATTGGAATTTGGAAATGATGCTCTGATGGATTTGAAAGCACATGAGCCGCTCATCACAGCAACAGATATAGACGAAGTAAATAGTCAATTGACTAAATATATATGCCACATTTAGTAGTTGATTTATTTCTCAGGCAAAAAGGGAAATTAGGACCACATGTAGTGGTGAATCTTGCTTGAATGTAGAGGTGGGAACCAGAATTGACCCAGCCTTTCAGAGCTGGTGAGTTTAAAAAGGCTGGCCTTTCAGGGCTCAAATTTTAAAAATGCCTCAATTTGCTAGGCCCGACTCTTAAGTCATAGGGCTCAGAGCAGGCCCGCAGGCTTTTGGCCCGTTTAAGAAAAAAATACTATTTTTTATATTTCTCATATTTTTTTATAAAAAAATAAAAATAAACCAATAAAATTATTAATAAAAGACATAAATATGAATAAAATTAAATCACAAATACAAAATATCATCATATATAAATATCCATCAACATCCAAGAACATCTAAAACATTTATTAACAAGATAACAACATCCAAAAGTTTTATCTATAGTGCAATTGTGCAATAAATAAACACTATCATTAATCCTTTGAAACTTCATCATCATTATAATCAATTACTCTTCTTCATAAGTATGCTTTTTTTTTCGTAACAAAAATATCAAGTTTTTCTTCTTTATAGGAATTTTACTTTTAAATTTTACAATCTAGCTATTATTTTACTTTAATGTGAGAAACATTGTTGTTGAAACTCATGAATATCTAATTCAAATTATAGAATCACAAGTTATATGAGTATAAAAAATACTCTATTATCAAATACTCCTCCGGTCCTTATTATAAGACCCAATTTGACTTTTTATTTGGTCCTAATTATAAGACCCAATCCATTTTCTCTCTTATATTTATGCATTTTTTTCCAAGATAATCCTTTTAATAATGATAGTTTTAGCCAATATACTTAATTAGCAAGGATATTTTAGGAATAACAACACTTATTTATTATAAATAACCAACTTAACTTACTTCCTTAATCTCCTCAAATAAGTCAATTGGGTCTTATAATTAGGACCGGAGGAGTATATATATAATTTAAAAATATCAATGCATATAATATAAATTAAATCATTATTAAAGTCCAAATTAACCCATTTTTTAAAAATTTAACTGGATAAATTATTGTCTAAAACTAAATAAATCAAATCATTCTGTAAAATTTAATTTTAAAATGATAATAATAACTAAATATTTGAACTATTATTAATAATGTAAAAAATTAATAATATTAGAATTATATTAAAAAAATTTAAAAAAATTATAAAATGGCCTAAACAAGCCGGCCCTCGGCCCTCTAGAACCAGCTCTCTAGAGCTTATTTTCTATTTGAGGAGAAAAATTTCAAGCCTAGCCTTCATAATTTCAAAGTCTAAACGGGCAGGCCCGACGGGCTCGGTCTGTTTTTCCGGCTCTACTTGAATGGCTAAAAAATTTATTACTTTTATTTCTAGACACATGCGCACCACCGCAGCTTGTAGTTACAACTTACAAGATCCACCACTTTGTTTGGCTTTTCGTCATAAATTTAGGAGCGGTGACACAGGCTAATCCCCATGTATTTATAGAACTAGACGATGTGGGTTAAAAGGCCTATGTGATGGAGTGTTAATTTGTAACCAATCCTAATTCATCATGTTAAGGTGATAAGTTAACCAGTCAAAACACCAGCTATTATTTTTTCGAAAAAAATTCTCATACAATTGAACGAAATATGATAAAAATTTTAATTTTTTTTATATGCTTGATTGAAAACACCAAATAAACGATGTATGTTTAAAATTTTTAGGTACAATATAAAATATAATAATATAATTATAATAATTAATAAAATTAGGAAAAACTAAAAAAAAAAAGGGGGTTAATTCACAGGCTATAAGCTTAGCATAACAAGTCAAAAAGCTCACTTGCCGACGGACTAGCCTTTAACCACCATTCTCTTTCTTTCTTCATTGCGGGGCGAAAGGAAGTTGCAGAAGACAGAAGAGTGGGTGTGAAACGACCATTTCTACGCAGAGACGCCCAGCATGGCAACCGGACCCTTATGGCCCCACATAAATCTCCAAGGAGTAAGGACCACTCCATCCATTCTCCTACACAAACTCCAAGAACACCCCAAGAGCCAAGAAGCGGCGACGAAACATCCCCACCACATATCCCCACCAACCTCCCCATCTTTATAAGGACACCCAACCCACCAAAATACACAGCGACACGCAAACGCCCTCATTAAATTCGGTGGGAACACATCCATCCTTGCTCCACTGACAATAGGACTGAGCAATGAGCGGGGTGCGCTAACCCGAAGGTTAGCCCATAACCCGCCCATTTATTCATAAATGGACATGGACTAACCCATAACCCGGTAGTAGCCTATTTAACCCGTATTAAATGGGTTACGGGGCAGCCCGTTTGGGCTGACCGGGTTACGGGGTAACCCATTTATTTTTTTTAAATTTTTTTCAGTATAGTTATTTTGTATATGTAACCTTATGAAACTGTCAATAAATTTTACATGTCAAATAGCAAATCAAATATGAAATAACATCAACCATATTCAATCACACAACCTCACTTAGATTCGCAAACAATTAAAGTCTGATAAAATCATAAAAGTAGTCACCAATCATAAAGTCTCATAAACTTTGAAAATTCCAACTTTTACCTAAAGGATAAAATAAAAGCTTAGACAAGCATGAATGTTTGATAAAAGATGAATGAGAAACAATATCATCAATTAAATGAAAAATAAAAATATTTTTAAAAACTTAAAACTTAAACGGGCGGGTATGGGAAGCCCAATACCTTGCCCATAGCCCAACTCGTTTAATGGGCTATCCCGCCCATTTAAACCCGCCCGTTTATAATATCTTATTTGGGCTAATTGGGCGGGCTTAAATGGGCAAAAATTTTATGGGTTATGGGCGGGCTAACGGGTAATGGGTTTGTTGCTCACCCCTAACTGACAACACGCCAATGACTGACGTGGCCAAAACAAACCCGCATGCTTGCCCTCAGAAGATGAACACACAAACACATACGCCACATTTATTGGTGAATCTACCTACCTTTAATGGTTAAATTATTGTTATTATTTTTCACCCAAAAAAAAATTATTGTTATTATTATAGTCTATTTAAAGACACATCCATACCAGAAGCACGATCAAACTTGCAACCTCTCACTTTTAGAAAAGCTTTCATGTCATTAATTTGGTCCCAAACATCATTATTAATGGTCAAATTATTTGTCTGTAGTATAACTTGCTGTGATTTTACTTCGTTCCTCATTTTATTACTATGATTTGAGCAAAATTAGTCATGCATATAAAATTAATAATTATTAGTCCAATTATATTTTGGATATTTTATGCAGTAATTAATATTTACTGATTCTCATATGCTCTAAAATATATAACCAACCTAACACATGTCCATACCAGGTTGGGGGAATAAACCATAAAATCTGCAAATAGTTTAAACTATATTAACATCATCTGAAAGGAATTACGATACATGCATGCATGGATCAAAAGAGTGCAGTAATGAAGCTTCTTAGTAAAAGCTTAGGCATGCTTATTAATCAACCAACTTCATACGTACGTTTTACCCACAAACAAACACATTCCTTAATTTTCTACGACAATCATTTGAATGCGCAGGTTCATAAACGCTGAACGTGATCCAATTGTTTGCTTTTCTGCAATTATACTGTGGTGGTCATGAAGATCGATCAGATCATGTCCTCATAAAAGTGTTTCTTAAACGCGTCCATATGATCCACCTGGAAGCACAAAGCAACCACAACAGAACCATCCCCTTCAGGGCTTGGAAGAAGCACGGAATTGCCGTCTAGCATATGAGATCCTAGCCCCATGGATACCTCCTTTCCCCACCCAAAGTCAAACCCATCTATGGGCAGTGTCAGCCAACTTACTACCTCAAAATTAGGGTTTCCAAGGAAGGGTGGCCCTTCTTTGTGGATATCTTGAAACTTTGTGAGGTCCTTTTGGCTTTTTAACAGCTCTATGCCAGACCGTACATACTCATCCGTCACCTTCTGAACTGCTTCTCTTACTTTCCTTGCAGCGAATCCTAATGGTTTTGACAAGAGATCGCCCACCACGCTTTGAGCTATCACATCAAAAGTTGCAGTGCCAAAGAACTCTCTTGGTAGTTGAGGCCTCATGCGGCTCCTCGAATCGACGACAATAACTAATGATGTTGGTTGTTCCATTTTGAGTCCTCTTGCCTTGCACGCGGTTCTCCACATATGTCCAGATATAGTCTCGTACCGAGAGAACCCACCACCCATCTTTTTCAGCTGCTCCATCTGAGACTTGCTGATCTTCAACATTGCCTTTGTGGTTTTCTTCTCTCTTTCCTCTAAATTGTCCCACTGTCCAACTAATAACGGTAGCCTCCCATACTGCGGGTAATCGTCCAGGCTCGGTGGCGCCCGTGCTAAAGGCGGCTGTGCAGCTCGAAACACACTCCGGTCAAGAAATGGGGTTACTTGTAGAGGCTCGTCTCTTGCTAGCCTTGCCCATTCAGAGATGAAGTGAAATGCAGCTAATTTAAAATAACATAAGCTGGATTAGTTCACACATTGGAATCTATAATAATAATGGGAACGAAAGTTTGTACTGTTTCCATATATATATATATCACCTGGTCCATCAACGACTGCGTGAGAAATTGCTATACTTATGCTGAGGCCACCGCACTTAAACCTGGTGAGCTGAACCAAACACAGAGGAAGCTCATCAATTGGGAGGCTGTAATCTACGGAGGGGTGAAGCTCACTGGGCTGAAAGGACAGGGACGAGTCAACAAGGTCGTCCAAATTTGAATCGCACTCGGCTTCGATGAACCGAGCCCCCGCTGCGTTGCAGTGAAGCAGAAGTCGTCCGTGGCCGATCCACTGCAAACGACCGGCCAAGGGATAAAACGGCACCAAGGCTCGGCTTAAAGAGTGTTTCAAGGTGTCGGCAATGGCGGTTGGCGGCGAAAGCCAGGAGCTTGGTGGTCGGTAGAAGTAGATGACGGGAACGTGAGTCAAGCAGCTTGTTTGATCCCATTCAGACAAGCCCATGCTTCCAATCCACGTTGGTTCAGAAGGCTTTACGATGTAGCTGCCTTTGAATGCTACTGTTGGCATGTTCACTTTCATCTTCTTTTTTTAAAATTCTTTAGCAAAAAGACGAAGTCGAAACTTGAAAGAATTACTAGGAAAGGAAAAGGAACAGACCTTAGCTAGGCAGCCTCCTCAAACGAGTCTCCGCTTCACCTTTCTAAAATCCCCCAGGAAGCCAAAACTCGTTGTGTGAACCGAAGCAAACATACGAATCCTTAAATAGAGACAATGCTCACTCTTGTGACTTTAATTGTATACTCCCTCCAATTCACAATATAAGTAATTTTAACAAATTCATTAATATCAAAAAGTATTAACTCATTAAATCTGTCCTAAGTTAAATTTTTTTTTTCAACATTACTCATATTAAATCAGGTTGTCAAAGAGAGAGAAAAATACAAAGAGTTACTTTTAAGTATTAATTGCAGAGATAAAATTGACAAATAAACATTAATTACTTTTTAATTGACTTATATTTTGAAGCAAGTCATTCTTCTAAAAATGACTTATATTGTGGACCGGAGGAAGTACTTCTTTTCATCCTTATCACATGTGCAAAATCTAGGACTATATATAAATCGCTAACTTATTACATCTAAGGGTTTTAAAACAGGACAATACTTACATTAAGTTACTTATATTTATTATATCAAGTTCTAGAAACACACATGACTACTATATGTCTTGTTTTTGAAATATTAACATTTAATAGTATTTAATTATAAATTCACATGAACAAAAAAAAAAACACCGGACCATGTATAATTAGAGAACTTGGCAGAATAAATATAAAAAATTTAACTTTAAGCTTTTTCCTTTAAAATAGTGTAGATTTTTGGGCTGGCTTACAAAATATATTGTAAACTAAACTGGGAAATGAGAATAAGTTTAGCGTTAGGTGATCTGATGTTGCAGGTTCAAACTGACATAAAATAAGGACTTGTTTGAAATGACATAAAAATATTTTTTTAATCGTGATTTGTGAAATATGAGGTAAGTATAAGTGTAAATTTTTGGCTTGGCTTACATTATACATACAATACTTAAAACCATTTGAATTGTTTTTTTTTCCTTTCAAAATTTTGATTTTGAAAAACTTCAAATCATAGTTATAAATTATATTTTGATGCATATCTACACTTTACTTATAATTGAAATAGGAAAAAAATGATGAGGAAATGTACCAAAAAATAAGTGTGTGTATTCTAATAATCCTTGAATATGTCCCATACAAATCCTTACACTACAAAAAAAAAAAACATGCTTTTAGCGACGGAATTTGTTCAATCACTAATTCCTTTGTCGCTAATTGATTAACGACAAAATTTCTATTCCGTCACTCATTATATGGATTAGCTATGGAATTTTCCGTCGCTAATTATTAACGAAAATTTTTAGTCGCTAATCTGTCATTAATTCTTGACAGAATTTTCCGTCACAAATTAGCAACAGAAAAATTTTGTCGCTAATCTGTCAAAAAAATTAGCGACATAATTTCTGTCATGATTCTATTAGAAATTAGCGACAAAATTTTTGTCATAATTCTATCAGAAATTAGCAACAGAATTTGTTTCTATCACAAATTCTATTACTAATTAGCTGTTTTTTTATGTAGCGTTATATGCATACACGCACACCCAGTGAGTGAAAGAAACAAATCAAAACACGTTGTACAAATATTGTCCGTACAAGATACTGTCCTTGAAATGCAGCAGAGATAAGTTCAAGATAATTACTCAAAAGAACAAAAACAAAATTTATAAATACTTAACAAGATATAAAGGTACATTATATTACTTTACTGCAATAAAATATAATCTGATATTATTATATAGGAAAATTTAATTAGTAAATAATCCTTCATATTTTGACTCATCTTCAACTCACTCCTAACTCCTAACTCACATAATTTGAGAATAGAAAAAGAGAGGGATGAAGCGATAATAAAATAGAGGTGGGGGCAATATATATTTTTTATTTTATACTCCTCCGGTCCTTAATATAAAACCTATTTAACTAATTTGATCATATTGAAGAAGTTAGGTAAGTTAGTTAATTATAATAAATATGACATTTTTTTAAAAAATATTTTAATCATCTTCATTATATCCTTCATCTCCCTCATATTTGATTATGGTTCAGGGAATATCAACATGGGTGATTTGAAAAAATTTGATAAGTATAAAAAATAAGTCTTATATTTAAGACTACAATTAATTTTATAATTAAATCTTATATTGAGGATAGAAGGAATATAATTTAAATACATGCACAACACACACATGCTTGTTTGTACGGAGAGAAGAAGGTTGGGCAAGGGAAGGCTAGAATGGTCACGTGGACACCAACCGAAGTGAGGGTTGCGGAGCACGTGTTTGTTAGCTGCACACGTTTCCCGTTTACGGACGTCACTGTTCTAACTATAGGTCAATAAACATAAACATTAAAGATGAAATACTCTGCAGCAGCCTCCTCCAAAAGCCATTCTCTAATTACTGCCGAGTAGAGTTAAATAAAAAGCCTGTCACCCGGCTTCCAAATTCATTGCCATTCTGTTTCTGGTCTTCTACTCTTGCAGCTTTTGACTCTCTTTCTCTCTCTCTACAGTCTACACTGTGGTTGGACTAAACCAGATCTCCGAAGCTCCCCCTCTAATGGCAGATCTCATACCATAACATACTGCCAAAAAGGCCACCCAATCCATCTACTTTCTCTCCAATCTCCAACTTCATCCTCTACTTTTCCGGCTTTAATACATTCCACTCAACCATTCATCAACTTCACGGCTTCTCCCCCACACCAATCCATGCTGGAAGACTCGCTTCCAAACTAAAGCCCATCTTCTCTCGCTGGTTTATTCCATGGATCTCAGCTTCGTCTCTTTGGGGACAAAACATATCCTATTTGAGCTCTTGTTGAAGTTTGAACTCTCTTAACCTTTTTAATAATGTTTTCGAGTTCTCTGGGAAAGGTTTGCCGACTTGAGACTCGATCTCCAGGTCATGGATATCTCTCAGTGATAATACTTCCGGTCCAAATTATAAGTCTTGTAAAGTATAAGAACTGAGTTGATAGTAACTCGGCGAAACTATACGGATCAATTGATTAATTTTATCACTTCAACCATTTTCAAGTACTTTTGGATAATAAATTTTCAGGGAGAGATTTTTCAACAATTTTTTTTTGTATAACTCATAATATCCTCAAATCATTTTGAGCTTGGGATTTATTTCTATTGGGTTGGGAGTGTTGAGATTAAGGTCCTCTCAGTAAGTATACTTCCCAACTTGTGTTCTCTTCCTTACTGGGTGAAACTGCTTGCCATCTCAACTAACATTTTGTTGATGATTTTTCAACTATTTATTATTGCTGGATGTAGTTTCATGGAAACAACATCATTTCCAATAGGTCTAAAAGATTTTTTTTTTTGGTATAACTCAGAGAATCTTAAAACTACTTTGAGTTTAAAACTAATCTCTATCAAGTTGGGAGTATTAAGTTAAAGTCCTCCCAACAAATACACTTCTCAAGATTTAAATTTGTGTTCTTTTCTTTACGAGGCGAAACTGCTTATTATTTTAACCAACAGCTTGTTAGTCAATAAGCCCAGAAGATTTTGAATTCAAGTATTAAAGAATAAAAAAATATATTTTGATAGAAAATGATCAAAATGATCTTCCTTCTATTTCTTTTTATTATTATTATTTTTTATAAACCTTCCTTCTATTTCTTTTTGTATTATTATTATTATTATTTTTTCATAAACACTTCCTTCTATTTCTGCTGTCTGTTTCCATGTTTTCTTACAAGAAGACGACGTTTAGCCCAAACGAGTTATTGCATATTCTGCTATGTTTGGCAAAATAACTCTAAATGATAGTGTTCTCGGACGCGACTGGAAGCAGATTTCCTATTTTCCACGGGTGCTCCCAACAAAATTGATTTTACATACTTAATAAAATTTTAGGAAATTTCAGCCCAGTACAAATGTCTTGTTTGGTGGCTCTATCAAAGTTCAAACATCTTCAAACCTGCTCCGTATCAGGCGTAAAGGAAACAAGAAAAAGAAATTGGGCTTCTAAAGCCCATTGGATAAATCATCAATGTTCACTTTTAAAATATATTTTGTAAAACCAATAAGATTGGATGTACCAACAGGGATTGGGTCTGACAGAAATAGTTAATTCTTCATAACGTGACGAATCAAGATTTGAATTGTCACTGGGAGAGGTGTCCACATTTAGTGCTCCACAGTGCCTCGAATAAGATTGTCTCCAATAGAAGGATACCTATGCTTTAGTTTAAAAAAAAAAAAATTGGATGTAGTGAAAGGAGTTAATTTTTCAAAAGTCACAGGTGACAAATCAAAATTTGAATCTCTACTAAAAGAATAATGTCTCAAATAAGATTACTTCTTATAAAATAATATGAATGCCTGTGCCCAGAGACCAAAAAAAAAAAACCAAAGAAATCTAGTGATCAACCCGTTTGCTAGCATTAACAAAATGTGTATAGAAATTGACATATATGATATTAATTATTATTCCATTAAAATTTAACTTAATTTAGTTGAATTTTTTTTATTGAAGTGTGTGCACTACTACAAAAAAAAACATTTAACGGCGGTTAAAATAAACCTACGGCTGTTTTGAGACCGACGTATATGCCATTGACGTAAAATATGTAGAGGATTTCACGGCGGTTTAAGAACCGCCGTGGTATGTGACTTTTCACGGTAGTTATATAAATAACCGTCGTGAAAAAAAAAATTTTAGTCTACGTTTCAACTTACTGATCAGGATGGAACAGGAGAACAAAGCCTCAAAAGAAGTCTCTCACCCGTTAAAAGCATTCTGATGGAACAAACATAGATTCTTTTTCGCCGTAATAGCATCATTTAGCTTCACCTTCAGCCACCAGATCGAAACCATTAAGATTTAATAAAAATAAAATCAAAGACTCAGATATGTTAAAAATTAGATCTCTTTAAACTCAAATTAAACATCATATTTTTAACCAAAGAAAATAATCATATCAAACCACAAAAACTATGAAATCCGTGAAAAGAGTGGAGGTGAAAAACTCACAAATAAGAATGAAGAGGATGAGGCAATGGCGACGGCAATAGCGACAGCTACGGTGATGGAAGAACATGGCGGAAATGATAGAAGCAATCGATAAACGCTGACAAATGTAGGAGGAGGGAGAAAATTGAGTGAG